GGCGGCCGCGGCGGGGGGTGGTGGTGACAGTGAAGGGCAGTGATTCGGGCTACGTTTGCAGTCACGGAGGAGCGGGGCACCCTCCAGATGTGCGCGGAGTGCGGTGCCGTTCATCTCGTGGGGCACCCGGAACTTAAGCAGCGCGGTAAATGGGCTTGCCTGGCCTCGTCACGGGGGGAGGGGAAAAAAAAACAAACCAAAAAAACACCTGAGATCCTTCCACGCGTTAAAGCGGGGCTTCGTTGTGATTAGAAATCGTTAAGAGGCGGTTGGATTTGGACAGCTTTCAAGAGAGAATTAGTGTAGTAAGTAAAAATCAAAATCGTTTGAAAGTCAGTCATTTTGAAGTATTATGATAGCAAAGAAAAGAACATTTTAAAATTAGGCTACTTGAGTGCCTGTGTTTTGATGGGAAGTGGATGATCCTGTGGTTTTGGTGAGGGAAGTGGTCTGTTTCTAGTATTTATCCCAAACTGAAGTTGAAATAACAGTGCCAGTGAGGCTGTGCGCCCTGTGCCGCTCAACGGTGACAGTACGCAACACCCAGCGATCAAACCCCTGTGGCTCCTGATACCAAACGGATTAACTTCTTGTCTATTTGAAAGCAATACCCTGAAAAATCTCTTCAGGATCAAATTTGGATGAGAGGCAACGCTTATGTGACCATGGGACGCCTGGCTTATGTCAGTATATTTTCCAAATGATCACTGTGCTTGTTCCAGAATAAAAGAATAAAATTCACGCATGTAGTCATTAGATTTAGTGTTTTGCTGGTGGTGTTTCAGAAGTTAAATGACCTGTGATGGTGAGAATCATCTTCCTCTATTTTTTTTTCCAGCTGCATCTACTTTATTTCTCTCCTAAACTTAAAGTATCAGCAGAGACACTTAAATGATTTCTAGACTACAAAGATTTTTCTCGGCGTGTTAGGATTTTTAAAACTAACTCTGGGCCTGCACAATCACACCTTTCAGAGAGTGAAAATCAGCCCTGTTCTCTCTGGGAACACTTCTTTTGTCAGCTACAGTTTCAATAGTCTCTATTAGATCTGTGAAAAAGATCTAATGAAGACGAGAACTACTATAGAAAGAAACCATGCCCTGTGAACCCAGTTTGGGCTTGGTCTCCTACATGACTGCTGTTTCAAGAACAGTTAATGCTGTTTGTGCATATAAATAACATACAATTATTGTTGTTAAAAATGTGTCTAAAAACTGCTTCTGATTTGTAATACACAATGTATTGTATAACTGCTTCTTTATGTTTTTGTCCTTTCATGCCTTCATTTTCCCCTTTTTCCTTCTAGCTCCTCCCTACTCTTGATTTTTGCAATCACAGTCTGGGCTAAATTAGCTAAATTAGCAATAAAGTTCCTTAAAAAAGTTATCCACAAGAGAACCCAGGAGTGAGTGTGAGTTACTTGTACGAGTTCCTTGATTAACTGTGATTCTATTTTCTTTTTCTATTAACTTGGAGAGAGTCTTCCCTTGAGATTTGACATTTTAATTAATATATTCTTCACCTTCCACTTCTAAATCAAGAACAAACTGTCTAGTATGGAAGGTAGAGCTAAAGCCCAATGGTGTTTTGGCATAATGATATGCTAATGATATACTACAGTTGCTATTTAGTCTGTGGTGCCAAACAGCTTATTAGACTGATGGTTTTCATGGCTGCAATTTGGTTATGAAACTGTAAGGTCTAGTGCGGGAGGGTTGCTTCCACCTCATAATTCCTGCTATTGTTAAAAGTCAATGCTTAAGAGAAGTTGGGCCTCCACACTTTTTAGAAAGAAATTGCGTATAAAACCAAATAGAGATGGATTCTAGTCATGGCGGGGGCTTCTGCTGCTGGCATG